AATTTTTCCTATCATCTATCATTACAAATTATTGTAATCAAGTGAAAGCATTCTGCTCTAGCTCACTAGTTATCACATCTTTTTAATACAAATGTAAGGAGTCAACAGTTATTAAATCTCCACAGAACAACCTACAAAATAGTGCAAATAATAGTTAATTGATACAATGAAGATGTCTGTAGATTTAGTGGGTCAGAATGTGTGTTAGCAATTCAGAGCCACTCCCACCACCTCCTACACTCCTGTGCACTGAATGAGCTAGATGCCTGAGAGGTATAGTTCATATAATTCTTTACTAGTTAGATCCAAGTTTAAATTTTACAAAATAAAAAGCACACATATGAGATACGGAAGTCATTAAAGAAGAACTCTCATTGCTCATGCAGCAAGCAGGCATGTTGGCTTTGGCAGAATACAAAGATAAGATTGCAAGTGGCTTCTAAATGTACTATAGGCAGCTGAAAATGGGTACTAATTTTTTGTGATACTCAAATTTCCTGCTTTTCTGAAACCTGACAGTGACTTTCTTGACCTTTTCAACCATATTCTTCCTGGTTTTGCAACATGTTTGTACCAATGTTAAATCCCTGTCTCCTTGAAATATCTACAGTGATTTTTTTTTTCTCTAGTGGTTCTGTATGTTCAAAGATGGTTATCTGCAATTGTTTGCCCATTTTGATTAGATTTTTAGAAGATAATATCATTTATACCAGGTAATAGGAACATGATAATTCATGGTTTTTCAGGACCAAACATTTTCTTAAATGATCACCTATAGCTTCCTAAATTGAAGGATAGGATTTGGGAAAATAATAACTGGTTCAATAGAACATTATAACAGAATAGAGTCTAAGAAAAACTGGGTATTTCTGACAGAAGTGAAGAGATGATAGAAAAAAAATGATAACCTTAGTGTTTTAAATTCTCAGTTGGCAGTAGAGGTGGGAGACAAAACATCTACAACTATGCTAAGAGTCTGAAATTGCTTATAGCCATAGAATCATTGTCTCTTAAAACTTGACTATGGATTGAAATACTAAGTGGCAAAATTATAACTCAAGTAAATTTCTTTATTTTATTAGGTCCTTTATGTGAAGGCTAGGGCATTGACCGGGAAAATTTAAGACTGAGCACTGCAACCTGGCCTTAGAAGTCTAAATTCCATTGAGCCTCAGATGATGTCAAAAGCAACTCTTTTGCCTCTGAAAAAGTAAGTTTCCTCTTATGTGAGTTCTCTATGTCACTCATCAAGGGGGATGCTGATTCTCTTCAAGACCAATCTCCAGTATACTCAACAACATCACCCTCAAAAGAGAGTCAATTCCAGATTTCAGGAGCACAAGTAGAAACTCTGGCCTTAGAAAACATAGCACATGCACTGTAAATAAACAAGCAAGATCAGAAAATCCTAAGCAAATGTCCCCTAACACAACTGTGGCTTAATCGCAAAAATGTAAAGTATCTAGAACAAAATATGTAAATAAATATGTAACTCAAAATTCAAGAAAATATGTCATTACCTAATACTGGAAAAATGAATCATATTACTAACAACATCTCTCTGTAACAACCACTGCTATTCTGGTTTGACTACTGTTACAGTACAGTGTACATTGATAGCCATACAGCCTTAATATTCAGATGGTAACCTAATGATACAAGAGCAGGGAATCACTCTTACATATCTAGTTTATGATTTTCCTCATCAAATTAAAACAACTGTCCCAGAATACAAATATCAATCCCAAATGATCTAATTGATTGTCCTAGATTTAGAAAATATGAAAGATGAGATGAAACTTAGTCTTTAGTATTACATTTTATAACCATAAGGTCAGAGGCCAAGAGAGATTTAGTGACTTGTAGAATGCCTACATTAATGCAAAGAACAAAGGAAAATGACTTCTCCCTACTAACTCTATATTACCTCCAGCTTCCCCAAATACAGCTACTATTATTCTGTAAAATAGATTACATAGAATGGTAGATATGTAGAGTTTCCAAAGATATGATATGTAGAGTTACAATAGATATGTAGAGATTAAAAATGTGTCATTTACAAATGGTAAACATAATCCAACAACAGAAGGGTTCAAGCATGATTCATTCCAAGTGCTGGTTTGAATTCAAACATTAAAACTGAAGTCAGTTTGTTAGTGATGCCAAGGAGTAATTTTTATGCATGTATATGATTTATCTACCAAAACAGTTTCAGATAATTTACTTTAAAAATCATACAAGAAAGAACCATTTAAGAATCAGAATGAAATCATAAGAAAAAAAAGTAAATTAGAAAAAGATGTATGAAAAATTCCACTACAAGACAAATTGTGGTTACCTGGCATGGAAATATTCTCTAGACTTTCTAATTGTTGACTGAATGGGTTAAATACTGTCAGAAGAAATAAACTGCTCATAATTCTCTAGGGTCCCTTCCTTCTGGTAAATATATGTTTGACATGAAATTTAAAATAAATATTGCCATATAAAACATTATAGAAGGTATAAAATATAGTTGACTCTGTAGTCAATATAATCTTCCTATGTTATTCAATAATGTATTTCTAAACGCATTTCTCAACAATCTCTACTTTGTTCCAAAAGAGCTTAGTGTGAGTCATAAGTATTCACAAACTTACAGACACAACTTTTAGAGATATAATAAACCAGTAAAAAATTGCCATTATGGCACAACTTCTGTGTAGAACATGAGGGGTAAGGTCTGAGCACAAAGGAAAAAAAATAGAAAAGAAAGTGAAAGTGATAAAAAGAATAAAGAAGGAAGAAAACATATAAAAACACATTATTTCCATTTTGGAACTGTCTATGCATAGAAATCTAACACTAAGTTTGTTTGCTAATAATAAACTTTCCTTTGTTGACACAGAAACAGCTATGGTTAATGTAAAAACACTTAATAAATTTTCCAGGAAAGTTAAGTGCTGACAACCCAGAGTATCTCTTTCAACAGCTTGTAAACCAGGACTCCCCAGAGCCTTGTGGATGGGAAGCATACTAATATCAAGTCTGTGACCACTCAGCACCATGATGTGAAATATCTGTTCAGGAGGTCATCTCCAAAATGTACCCCATTCATCTTCGTGCACAGAGATGATAATTTATCACCGAGACATAGGGATCTACTGTAAACTAATCCAAACTGCTGACGATACACTAAATCAGTTTGAGTCATGAGTATAAATAAAGCTGCAAGCCAGGTACTGAAGGATACAGATCTATCTGATCAATGAGATTTCACAAGGCAAATGAAATGCAATGTTGACAAACATAGAGTCCCTCGACTGAAAATTAACCAAATCAAGAATCATAACATAAATGCACACATTAATAAAAGCTTCAAAAGAATATTTAACATAATAAGTCAGAGGATGTATTCTGCTTCAGACAAAACTGAACAGAATGGGTCAGTGGGTAAAGATGTATTTAAAAATGATACATTTTGCCTACTATAGAAAGTATGACAGGTTAAATAAAAATGTGGCAAAATAATAATCCTCTCCAAATAAGGTAACCATAGTTATTCATTCTGCTGAGCGAATCCATACACTCAGATGAAGACAAACAATAAAAATTGTATATAGAAAATGATTTCACATATGCTTGCTACTAGGAAACCAAATTCAATTTGTGTTGCCCTTATGAAAGCTTAGATATTTTCTGCAATTGTCATCCTACAACTTCGATGGGGAAAAAACAAGGGATTGGTGATAAGGAAGGGTATTCCTCCAGATAGTTGATATTCACAGAGAGCACTCCTTGAGGGGAAAAGAAAAAAGGTTTTCCCAACTATGTGAGTGTGATCAGAATAGAGCCTTTAGCACTTCACAAACAGGATCAATGGATTCAGCTATTCTGAAGGTGTTCCTGATGGAAAGAGCTGATTAAAGTAAATTTCAACCCCTGCTGAAGCAAATCTGTAAAAGTATTTTCTCAGGGAAACTGTTCTTCAAGATATTTATATATATTTTTATTGAATTAAGCATATATTTTGTCATACCAAACTTAACACTTGCTTTGTATTTTATCATTCGGTGTATTTTGAGTAAAGATAAAATTATACTTCTAAAATATGACCTGATCCCAGATGTAGTTTATTTAAATTTCAAAATGAAAAGCTTACTCAGAATAGATAAGATTGATTGCTCTGTCTTAGTATAATTGTATTTCAGGTGAACATCAATTTACTTTAAAGGACACTTCTAAGTAGCAGAATGCATCATAAATAATTCATCAATCACAGATACTGGGAACATGATTTACTCCAGCAGATTCAATGTAATAAAGTTTCATTTTCTATATTTGTATCTGCTTTAAATTTAATAATTTTCCTCTTCTGAAATCCATTCTTATATTCCATAATTCTTATTCCAAATGCAGTATGATAAACTATTTCCTTTTTTCCTTTTCAAAAAATATTTTCTAACTGAAATATAATATGAACTTATCACTGAAACAAATAAAAATCTATGCATATGAATAGTAAAACAATGTAAAAGAGGGCCAGGGACTTAGCTCAGTGGTTCTGCCGCCTGCCTCGCAAGCGCAAGGAACCGAGTTCGATTCCCAGTACCAAAAAAACCCCCAAAAATCGTAAAAGATATATATCTCAAAGTAGCCCCATGATTTTCTAAAATATGTAAATCTAGTAAGGCCAATACAATTTATTTTCACATTATATGAACTTTTAAATGAAAAGAAAGATAGCAACCTTTTTGAAAATATTGCATTGATTATTTAGGATCTGATGTGAAAATTAATTCAATTTAAATTATAAATTGTGTAATTGTCCAATTTTTTTGTTACCACAGTGAGTATTCTATCTAAAACTTTCGCTTGTCACACAGACTTAGCTTACACATCTTAAATTTTCACTAATAGTCATCAATTTTGCATTAGCAAATTTCCAATTTGTGAAATATACTTAAAATAAATATATTAACAAGGAAAATGTAATAGAAAATGGAAAATATTTTACTTACTTGCAAACCCCTCTGAAAAACTGAATGGCCCATAAAATTAGCCAGCATTCTAATTAAAGCAGCACCCTGTAGAAAAGAGTATTTAAAACAAAAGAATTTCAACCAGATATGACTATACAATCATTCTGTTAATCAATCAAAACCTTGCTTCATAGTGTTACATTAAAATATTTAACAAGAAAATCATGAAAATAATATCTCTTAAAATAACAATTGTGTGTAAGTTTGATAAATCAAAAAATTTTCTGACTAAATCTTAGAACTGCAAAACACAAATCTAGACAGAATATCTCAAGAGAATAATAAGTTGTAATTCAAGTACAATTAACAGTTTATTGAAACAATGTGTATGACAAAAATAATAACATGTGGTTCTTGTATTCACACATTTATAATGTTAACATTCATATTAAAACATAGCTTTAGAGTGATATCACTACCTTTATTACCCTTGTTCTAGCAATAATAGTTACACTGTAGAAGTTGAGAGCAGAGATCACTAAGGAGTCTAGAGCTGTCGGGTTCAAATTGTGACCCATTTGCCATGTTCAGTCAGGAAAATGATTTAACTTCCCTTTTCTCACTTATTTCTCTTGCAATGTATGAGTAAAAATAGTCCTATTCAATGTGATTGTTCTGAAGTGTCAATGAATGAATATACTTAAAGTAGTTCAAATAGGTATGAAAAACAGTAAGTACCATAGGAGTGGGAGTTATTGTTACTAATTAAATTTGCTAATTATTTTTATGGCTTGACTTTCTTCTACAGGCTGAATCTTGGGCCGGGGATTTAGCTCAGTGGTTTCACTGCCCGCTGCGCAAGCACAAGGACCCGAGTTCGAGCCCCAGTACCAAAAAATATATATAGAGAGAGGCTGAATCTAGCCATATAGATCCACACATAAATGAGACATATGTGGTGACTACAAAAATTTAAAATAATAAAATGAATCACTAACTGAAGTCTTCTTAACCTTAAGAAACATAATGTTGTAGAACAATAATACTGCAAAAAAAGTAGGCAGGTAATCAATATGAAACATACCAAGTAATGATAATTAAGCCTATATGATCACAAATATTTATTAAAATATAAGTAATTTTTCAAGAAGATTTTTCAATTTACACCAAGTTGTTTGAACTGTGGAACAGTGGATGTAAACACTAAATATTTAATAACAATCCGATTTGGAGGGTTTTTCCTTAATGATGACATATCACACTTCATACTCATTACAAATACATATACTCCAGCAACTTGTTTCTTAAATTTTTCTTAACAAGTACTAATTGTATGTATTACTGGTGTCAGTATGGGATTTCAATACATGGACACAGGATTTTTGATACTGATGAAAAGTGTCTCTTTTTGCAAGAGAATCATAAGGCTCACAAACAGATTCCACCAGCCTGGGACTGCACTCGTATAGTTAGTCCATAAAGAGAATAATAAATTTCCATTGTTTGATATTAAAATCATTTTCTACAATTCTGGAACTTTGATGGAATATAATACTCATATTCAGAAATTAATCACTACTAAAGCAATATGTCAAAAATTTTAATTACCACCAAAATTGTTCCTCAAATTGCTGTTTTATTCTCATCTCAACAAATCATAAGCTGAAAAACAATAGAGTCTTCTGCATCTCCTGATATTTTCTTCTCCCACACTTTTTACTCTTTCCTTTGCTTCTTCTTCTTTATCTTCTGCACACTTGTGTAAGTCCATAAAATATAAACATTTATGATTCAATCTCGGGACCAGGTTAGAATTCCCTTTAGAATCTATTAGCTCTGCTCCTTGAATTTCTTTGACAAACTCTGCTCCTGTACATTTTTCAATCCAAGCAACCAACCCTGAGGGGGGAAACTGACCCTTGACACCTGGGAAGTTAGACATAGAATCTGAGGCAATCAACTCCCTTCAGAACAGAACACTCATCTTCCAGTGATTTAAATGTCTCCCTCCAGGTAATGATGACTTGGCCTCTTGTCCACTACAAAAAAACTATCCATCTGGGCATGGTCTAATGGCAAAGCAATACTTTCTAATCATAAACAATGAACCAGTTTTCCTGTCTGGGTTAAGCTGGAGCAGAGCACTAGCAAGAAATAAAACCTATAAATACAAACAATATTTAAGTTATATAATATCACTGAATAGATAATATTTAGTGTTATATATTATTATATTACATGTGTTATATAATATCATTATTATGTTGCATATATTAACTTTTAGAAAATTTGTGCTCAATTGAAAGACTTAATGTTCTTGGAGCCGCACACAAAATTATAGATCTGTACTGTTCTTTCCAAAGCTAAATTTTAAAATCCCTATTTTATAGAAGTTCATAGACAGATAGGCTCACCAACTGTCATCATTTAGTCAACACATACTAAGTTACTACTATGTATGGATTATAAAACTGATCACAACTCTTAACATAGGTATACATTATTGAAACCAGTTTTTTTAAAAGACTCTAAATCTCCTTTCATCGTGACTTTAAAGCATTTGTTCATCAGACTAATATTGCTTACAATATTAGAAATTACACTCCAATTCCAGACCCAAACAAACAAACTGGATATTTAGGCAGCCTGAAAAGTTTATGGGAAGCAAATACATTATTTCAAGCAAAGCTTTAAAGTTGAAGTTAGTGCAAGAAAACTTACGATGTTTGATAAGCTTAGGTTCAAGAGGACACTAGAATAATTAACTAAGGGTTTCATAAAGAATATTGCACACAAGTGTGCTTAAGAGCCCACTCATCTTTTATCAATTTTTGTACTTGAAATGCCTTTTTGTGTATAAGTTCCCAACTAATTTTTAAATTTTTTATTGTATTAATTTGTTTTTATAAATTAATTTTATTGGTACATTTCAGATATACAATATAATGACATTCATCATTGGAAATTAGTACCTTTACATAATCTCTCTTGGTTCTTATTTATCCCCATTCCCCTGCCCTCCCTTCATTGTATTAATTTGAATGCACATTAGTCCCTGTGATAGTAAATACTTCTAGCAGAAAAGCAGTGTCCCCGTATCTGGCTTCACCCTCTCTCTGTGTCTAGCTCAGAAGCTGTTCTCCCTTAGAGCAGTAAGTGGACAAAAGATGAAAATCATCACATGCATAGAAATTACTTTGTATTTTTGAAGACTAGTTATTCAGCCAGGATATACAGTTTATTACTTCACTGGTGTAACCTACTGACACGTAATCACTTTGAAATGAGAGAGATCATCTTAACTAATTTCCTTTAGATATGCTTAATGAGCAAAGTGCTGTGCTCAGTATCATATAGAATATAAGTGGCACAACTTTCTATCATAAAGGGCTCAAAATCTAAGTGAAAAGAGATTGAAAATACTTTAAGTGACAAAAGAAAAAAATCTCCTCCTGTGTTTCAGAATCAGGAGAGGTTATCTCTGGTGGATGAAAAGTCTAAAGAAGTGGAAATCATGTTGCACATTGAAAGACAGATAAATAACCAGAAAGCATGTGTGTAATACAGCAGGAATGTTTTTTTCAATGATCAGGCAGATGTAGAGGTAACAAATAATCAAGGGAGATTATACAGAAGCACACTGGTATGAAACCAGACAATGGGAAATTAGATGGAAAATGAGACTGAGGCAGTTTTTATAAATGTTTCAATAGCACAGCTAAGTAATTTGGAAAGTGGTTAAAACAAAAAGTCAGGGCTTAACTCTGATACTCCAGGAAAGAAACAACATAAAATAACAGAAACAAATGGGAACAATGAAGATAACAGTCAAAGACACTCTTAAGGAATATAGCAAAGGTTAATTTGAATTTTAAAGCCTGACTTAGAGGAACATGATATTAATAGATACACAGAATTTAGAGAAATTGTGGATTGGATGAATAAAGCAATACCCACTGGAAAAATACGTGACTGAAGACTAGGTAGAGAACAGGAGGAAAAGAGGAAAAAGGTAAGTATAGGAATGAGACTCAGGGGAACTTCGTGATTGAAGATGTATATTGGGGTTTGAAGTAGGTGCGACTGAGAAAAGTGATGCAGTTTTAGTGAAGTAAATGGAATAGAGACTCTAAAGGTCTTTCTACAAATTCTGCACGATCTCTTCAGCACTCATAGGCAGTAAATACTGTTGAGGAAATCAATGAGAAATAAAATTATGTGTAAAGGAGGATGATACATTATGATGAAAAGCAGATGGCAACTCAGTAATAGTGTTGCTGAAGATATATCTGAACATTAGTGCTTCAGATTTCAAGAAAAAATAATAGCTAAGAGAAGGGCATAGTAGATCAATTTTAAGAGAAAGCTATTTAAACAGACTTGTAGGGGTAAAACTCAATTTGGAAAACTGTGGAGATGGAAGACAAAGCTAGATGTATGTTCATATGAGATTTGTTTAAACTTTTCTTTTTTGAATAGGAAAGAAAATTTTGTACAAAGTAAAATATTTGATCCATAGAAGACAGAGACTGGAGACACACTAGTTCAAGAGATGACTGTTGGAGCAAGATTCCAAAATAACTAAAAAGGAAATTTAGAATAGTCTTGGAAAGCAATATAGGCAGTTGACTCTGAGACAAGACGGAGGCCAGAAAGGAAAGGTTAGATAAATAAGAGATTTTGAAGTTCAAAGGACAAAAGCTAAGGAATTTTATGACACACAATAGACTGTAAACACCACAAAGCGGGAGATTTGGTCCGTCTGACCCCCTACTCTGGACACATCACCCAAAATGGTTCCTAGCACATAGGTGTTTCTAAAAAAAAAATACAGTGTTTGCTGGGCCATCACCACTCAATAATACAAGAAAAGTGGTCTTGAGATTCTATCAGTTGAAGGCAACGAAACTAGATTTGAAACAACTAACAATGTAAGAAGGCAATAGAGAGTCAAAAAAAGCAGAAATGCACTGAAAGTTTGTAAGTTGAGTTATTAATAAAGCATCTTTCATTATAAAATCAACTATTACATGCCACATTCATAATAATATAAAAAGATATAATGTCTTTGTCAAATCAGAAAATGAAAGCTTAAAGAATTGTTT